TCCCATAATATTGTATGTTGGGTAGTTTTTACATGTTCGGCTATAGCTGAAATTTCTATTTTATTGTTTCTTATGTAACTTTTGTGTTCTTGCAATCTATATTTTAAATTTCTTTCAGTTTGACCAATATAAACACTACCACATTCACATTCTATCTTGTATATACCCGTTTTATCAGATAAACCTTCTTTCTGTTTATAATAAAGCGTGTAGAGCGGTATTTTAAAGTGGAAGCCGTATGGCTTCAATAAAGATTTTATTGTGTAAATATAAAACGTTGTTTTTAATTATCTATTATTATTTAAAAAATGTTAAGCACAAGTGCTGGTAGTGCATATTTAGGATACTTTTATGACTATTTTACAATAGTAGTAACATTTTACGATTGGAAATTCTGGTTCTATTTGTTTTTATTCTCCATGTAAAGATCAAAACTCAGGTTAATGTTAAGACTAAAAAATTACAGCTTTAATACAACATCTACTGTAGTATTTTCTGTTTACACGGATTGTTCATTGTGCATAGAATAAGAATGTTTATCACTCTCCTCTATAACTAAAAATTGCAAAGAATTTTCTTTATCATAAACATCTAGAACAGATCTACAAAACTTAATTAACAAGATTTGTCTACTTTGGTACTAGAGCAACGTGACATTTCACAGAAATTTCGAAATTTTCATTGGCAATTGAAGAATAAGAACTATCACTTGATTTATTTTCTTATACTGATGACTTACTCTTTAGTTATATTAATGAAAAAGTTATTTCAACAAGTGCCTGACATCTCAAGTATAACGCTTTTAGTAGTTTTTATAGAGACAACTTTGAAAACAAAGACACATTATAAGGTCGTGTAGACATGATAAACGAGACTTTGAATTCATCTTCACCAAACACGCGTGCCTTCGTGTCGTGTTTCGCCAATTTCTCCGAAAGAGGTCGCGAGGTCGATCACTGGAGCTACAGTGAGTTTGACAGTAATGTAATGAATACTAGCCGTTGTGAATCAGTGTATTTAGTCCTGGTAACACTGGAAATTGTAGCATATAACTACTAGTGAAAAATCTTAATCCATTATAAATACATAATAAAAGTTCTGTGGTTGATCATTTAACATGACTATCAAATATTGGTCGAAAGGATTCACCAAATGGCCACCTGGTGAAATCTGGAGAACTAAGTTATGAATTTAAAGGTATACAATAACATAACCTTTCTGTATCGGATATAAATTGATATGTTAATTTATCTTCCGTCTGGCATGGGTTGGTAGCTGCGGCCATCTAAGATTCGAAGGTTCGAATCCCGAACGTGTTTGCCCTTTCAATCGCGGGATGATGTTATTATAATGTGACGGTTACTCCCACTATTCGTTGCCCAAGAGTTGACGTTGGGTGGTGTTGACTAGCTGCCTTCCCTCTTGTCTACGAACGGTTAGTGGAGATGGCCCTCGCGAGCAGCTTTGCGCGAAATTCAAAACACACAAAATTATTTCTCTTCAATTTCTAATAAAGTTAACAGAAGAAGAAAGAGAAATGAAGGGAAACTCGTAAAAAATTATTGTACTTTCAGAAGTTTAAAATACACTAGGTTTTATATTATACATCAATAACTTTAAACGTTACAATTAAAACCACCACCACACCGTGGGCACTAACAGTACGATCACTATTGTATTTACAGTACACTGATTATATATATATAAATAAGACAACATTCTCTCTTACTTGTACATAATGTTATTTAGTCACTATTGTACTTATAACACTTTTATTGTATTTATAGTACACTGATTATATATATATAAATAAGACAACATTCTCTCTTGTACATAATGTTATTTAGTCACTATTGTACTTATAATACTTTTATTGTATTTATAGTACACTGATTATATATATAAATAAGACAACATTCTCTCTTACTTGTACATAATGTTATTTAGTC